TTTTTTCTGAAAAAATTCTGAAAAAAATTCTTCTGACATTTTTTACATATTTCAGAAGCAGCAGCTTTAAATGAATTCTGTTCAGACAGGTTATGCCTCATCAGAAGCAACATTTGCCTATGGAACTCAGTTTAGTAGATCTGCACATGAATACTTGGATTCATCCCAAAAAGGCACCCCAATTCTCATTAAGATGAAGAGTCTCTTCAAAATCTCTTGATAGTTCTAGTGGCCATCAGAAGCTTCTGTACAGGTGGTCCTTGTTTAATGATCACTCGTTCAGTGATTGAACTTACAACAGTGCTGAACAAGTGGTAGTTACAACTGGACCTCATACTTATGGCTGTCACAGTCTCTTGTGGTCATGTGATTGTGATTTGCAACCTTCCTTGCTGGCTCCCCACAAGCAAAGTCAATGGGGAAGCTGGCAGGAAGTTGGAAGACATGGTCACATGAGGTCCTTGCTTAATGACCCATGCAATCCTTGTTTACTGATGGCAACTGGGACTGCTGGAACTGCAATTGCTAAGCAGTGGAGTCACATGGTTTTTTGACTTACAACTACATAGCTTAACAACACAGTTTCTGGTCTTAATTAGCACAGTTAAATGAGGACTACATGTATATATACATTAAGCATGTGCTAGTAGAAGCCCCAGAAGCACCATGAAAGAAAACAAAGTGTCATTTTGCTATTAGAAATCAATTTTGTATCAGTTCTTTGCTTGAAGCTTTGTCAAAGCAGAGTATTCCTTTGAAGCTTTGTACAGTCTTAAATTTCATTTGGATCCAATTTGGAAAAAAAGCCAATTTGCTTTTGACCTTTTCAGAAATCACCAAGCCACTGCTTTCTCTTAAGTCTTGATTTGGATTGGGTTCTTGGTGATTTTTTTTTTTTAGTAAGAAAAAGTCACTTTTTAACTAGAAAAAAAAAAACCTGTAGATATGTATTAAAGGTAACATCCACCTTTTCCCTTTAAATTAGAAGCAGCTCAAACCTTATTTGAAATGTGTTAAGCCTTTTTGTACTACAGGTAGTCTTGCTTAATGACCATTCATTTAGTGACTGCTTGAAGGTACGACGGCACTAAAAAGTGACTTACGACCAGTGCACGAAGTTATGTCTGTCACAGCAGCCTGCAGTCATGTGATCATAATTCGCGCGCTTGGCTACCAGCTCTCACAACGATTGCAGCATCCCAGGGTCATGTGATCGCCATTTGTGATCTTCTCAGCCTGCTTCC